ACTTTTGATTCTGGCTGAATATGAGAGCATTTATTAATGTTGGAAGGCTCGAAAGAAACAGAGTTAAGAAGTTGAATCCTTGTACTTTTGAGTATTGTCTTTGAATATTGTCTAATATGTTCTTAAGTGTTGGCAAGTTTATACAGTCTTCCTGTGGAAGTTTAGTGTCTCCCCCAGCCCCTCCAGTGATGTAATTCATGGGATATGGACTTTCAGTTATGGAACAGGGTTTGATGAGGGAGATTGATTGAAACTGTACTTTCTGTTGCTAAAGTAAATTGTTTGATTTTTGAGTTAGTAAGATGACTTACTAAATAAATGTTTATTATAATAAAAAAGAAGAGGTTGAATCCGATGGGTGGTGGTGGCTCACGCCTTTAATCCCAGCACTTGGGAGACAGAGGCAGGTGAATCTCTGTGAGTTCAAGACCAGCCTGATCTACAAGAGCTAGTTCCAGGACAGCCTCCAAAGCCACAGAGTAACCTTGTATCGAACTCCCCCCCACAAAAAAAGAAAGAAAAGAAAAAAGAAGTTGAATCCAAGGTGTTTAGGGTCTTGGGTGGAATAATCAGTGAAATGGGCAAGTTTGGGGCTCAAGTGAGAGCTAAAGCTGGGGGATAAATTCAGGTATGGATGAAAATCTCAGGGGCAGGAGGAGAAGGGGATGGTCCAGCCCTGCAGACCCCTCACGTGCACCTTGAGAGCTAGTGAAAAGGACCACAAGGAAGAGAAGCTGTAAATCAGGGAAGAAACCGGGCAGCTCGAGTGAGGGAGATGAAGAGCAAAGTATTTCAAAAAGATGGGAGTGGCCGGCTAGAGACAGTGGGGGGGGGGGGGGCAAAGAATGACCTTTGAATTTAGGAGAAAAGACAAGAAGAAAACACCCTGTGCAGTGACACTCCCAGATTGATCTTTACGAGACAAATCTGGAAATGTGACTCCTTTGATTGAAAACCTCAGTGGCTGGCCACCAGCTCCTTAGTGGGCTGTACTGATCTGCAATCGGCCTCTGGCCTCCAGGGGCACTCACTGTGCTGTCTGCTCCGGGGAGCAGTGACTATGCCGCATCTCCCTTAGCATCCCAGTGACTATGTCTGGGACGTGTTCTAACCTCGCTTACCCTGAATATCTTCCAAGGGCCACTGTGTTAAAGGCTTAGTCCCAGAGTGGAACATTTGGAGGGCGGGGTGGGGGAGAGGATGGGGGGAAAGTTTTGAAAAGTGGGGGGTTACAGAATTCTTTAGGTTGTGGGGCTTGTCTTCAAAGAGATTATAAGACCATTGCCCATTATTATTATTATTATTATTATTATTATTATTATTATTACTTTTATCATTATTATTATTGGTTTTTTTGAGACAGGGTTTCAGACTGGCCTCGAATTCATAGAGATGCTCCTGCCTCTGCCTTCTGAGTGCTGGGATTAAAGGCTTGCGCCACCACGGCCCAGCTGTTATTATTTTTCTTTGCTCAGTGGGCTCAAGGTTGACCACTTTGCTCAGCTGTACATGCTACTCATAATATGGCCCCTCACCATTATCCTAAGCAGCAGGTCACCTGATTATGTCTTGAGGCCTCTAAAATTCTAAGCCCTAATCAATCTTTTTTTCCTTAAAGATGTATTTTGCTATAGTGATGGGATGCTCAGTTACATACTATTCTTAAACGAAAATCAAAGTTAAAACACATCTACTGAATTTGAACGCATATATAGATCCCCATCATGCAAAAATGCAACTTGAAGGGTACAAAATATTAGTAGCCTGTGTTATAAGTTTAACTGTACCTCTACTGCAGGTTCACACAGTGACCTCATTTGGAAACAGGATTTTTTTTCTTTTACTTTTTTGTAAAGATTTATTTAGTTTGGAAACAGGATTTTAAAATATTGCTATTTGTCTGTCTTTAAGCTTATTATTATTATTATTATTATTTTGAGACTGGGTCTCATTACATAGCTCAGGCTGGCCTAAAACTTGGGATCTTCCTTCTTCAGCCTCCTGAGTTATACGAGGAAATGGGGTTCTTTTTTTTTCATTAACTTTTTTAGTATCCAAAATAGCTGGTTTCATTATAACATTTCCATATGTATTATTGTACTTCGCTCATATTTGCCCATCTCCACCCATCCACTTCCACTTGCCAGTTCCCTTGAAATAATTAAGTGAAAATTGGTCAACCTGGACTTGGTGGCACACACCTTTAGTCTCAGCACTCAGAAGGGAGAGGCAATTGGATCTCTAGACTCTGAAGTCACACTGAGACCCTGCCTTTTTTTTTAAGTGAGTTAGTAGGATTTTAAAGGTGGATTTTATTTTTGTCATAAATCCAAAGGTGGGTGTCCCTGATCTAGTACGGCTGGACACAGGGGATTGCTTTGACACATTCACAACCAAGGAATGCCTGAGGCTACCAGAGGGGTCACATCACCTGGAACCTCAGGGGGAACAGTCCTACCAAAACCTTGATTTTTAACTTTTACACCCCAGGGAGGAAGCAAAAAATTGTTGTTTTAATCCATACATCTTTTGTTTGAGAAAGTACAGGCGGCTGATATACCCCAAATGTGGAAGATGCCAAAATATATTTTCTTTGCCTTTTCTTTTCAGTACCCCAGAATTCTCACTCAATTTTATTTTTATGCAAAGCAATGACAATATGCGCAAAACTCAATGGCATTCTATGCAATTAAGCCTAATAAGAAATTTAGAAGAATCTCCAAAGATCCCACTTTAATCTGATTTAAATTAATCTACAGTTCATATTTATAGTGGTAATAAACTAACCAAAAAGAGGGCAGGGCTCATGGAGAGCAACGGAAGAGACAATTCGAGGGAATGACTTTAGGTTTAAAGAGAAATCTGATACTAGGAAATTATACAGAGATCCAAAAGGATGACCCCAACTAGGGTTCTAAGCAATAGTGGAGACCTTAAATGCCCTGTAATGAGAATGATGACTACCTTAAAGGCCTTCCTAGAACCTTCATCCAGTAGCTGATAGAAGTAGAAGCAGAGATCCACAGCCAAGCACTGAGCCAAACTCCTGGAATCAGAGAGAGAGGAATGACCAACAAAGGGGTGAAGACCACGCTGGGAAAACCCACTGAAACACCTGACCTGAGCAAGCGGGAACTCATGGACCCCAGTCTGACAGCTGAGGAACTAACATAGGACCTTAGGTGTCAGTTAGGAGCACTGGGCAGTCTATGGGATCTCTGGGAGTAGAACCAGGATGTATCCCTAGTGCATGAATGAACTTCGGGAGCTCATTTCCCATGGAGAGATACCCTCTTAACCTAGATACACAGGGGAGGGCTTCACAGATTTTAATGATCCCTCATGGAAGGCCTCACCCTCCCTGGGGAGTTGATGGGGGATGGCCATTGGGGGGAAGAGAAGATGGGAGGGAGAGGGAACTGGGATTGATATGTAAAATAAGATTGTTTCTAACTTAAATAAACATATATATGCATATATATATATATATATATATATATATATATAGAGAGAGAGAGAGAGAGAGAGAGAGAGAGAGAGAGAGAGAGAGAACGGGCTCTGAAGACATCAGTACAGGGATCGCCTCAACACTTGGCTTCTAAATGAAGACAAAAGTTTAAATCTGATATAATCCTAGTACGTAGGGGGAAGAGGCGCCAGGATCATGAGTTCAAAGCTGGCCTTAGCCACATAGGAAGATTCCCATCTTAAAAATAAATAAGTAGATAGATCTGAGGGCTGTCTCTAGACTGGTGTTAACTCACTCTGGCAGATCCCTGGAGGTTTTCTCCTTCCTACAAAGGCAAACTGGCGTAAACAGAGATGGTTACGCTTCTGGCTTTTTCCAAAGGCTGTGAATAAGCTTGAAGTGTAGACCAGGGTGTCCACATGCATGAGAGGTGCTCAGAATGTGGCTGGAGCTGTGGCCGGGAGGAAAATCCATAGAAATTATTCTGACATTGGAAGCGAATTATAACCCTTCCCCAAATAGTTGCATTTCTTTAAAAATTCCACCCAAAGCAGTAATTCATAAAGGGAATGGGCTTTTACATTGCTGGGTAATCTACTTCCTCACAATCTAAACGAAACCCTGACATTATCATCTATGGTTACTTAAGGCCATGGATAGCAACTGGAGAAAATACGAAGGCCATCAAATTAAAGAAATTTAAAATTAGTTCCCACACAAGTGAACTTGAAATATGTCTGAAACCTTAGAATTCATTTATGAAAGCCAGCTAAATAAAACTTTCCCACGTTGATAATTTATAAAATGTCTATAGTTTTTTAGGCCTGGAAGTGGTAGAGACTTCTCCCATGCGACAGGAAAGAATGGATTAGTCCTCCTGCAGGAAATGGCGTCGTCCAGGCATGGCAGCACACGCCTGTAACTTCAGCACTTGGGGGTTGAGGCAAGAGACTGTCTCAGGAAAGACAGTGGTAAAAGCATAAAGAAGTGTGTGAGAAGTCAATAATGGAGACATCATTCTGGTGAACAGGTGGGATGGCTCAGTGGGTAGGGACTCGCCACCAAGCCTGACCACTCGGTGGAGGGGGAGATGACCTCTACACAGTCACCATAGCATTAGCGTATGCGCACACACAAACATGCGCGCACACACAAAATAAAGATGCTTTTTAAAGAGATATTTTTCTTTCTAGTAGTTGTAATATTTGCCAGGTTTTAAATTTTTGTAATTTGCTGTGGTTTCTTTTCCGTTTTAAGTAAATACTAAATTTCAGACTCAATGTCATATCCACAATTCTGTATGCTTTTTCCTCTGGAAGGAGCCGATATCCTCCCATTCATAAGTTTTACTTTCCACGGAACCCGGACCCTCCCCTGCCGTCATCAGTTACTTTGTGAGCTATCTGGATGTGGAGAGGTGAAGGGAGAAGGCTTTGGGAGCCTACGTCTGGGGAAATTTAAAGAACACTATCCAACAGAGCAGCCTGTCCTGACCCAACGATGTCAAGCTGTATCATGTCAAGGTGAACAAGTCCACGAATGGCACTTCCGGCATGCTATTTTCAGATCACGGAATTACGTACTCATCGCTCCTTGTTAAAGCGCTGTAGCCATGGTGGCAGCTGATTACAAGAGAGATAACTGCAAGAGACAGTGTCGATGACTGTTGCTGTGACGTCACAGCCTCCCACACCACAGCGGAGAGCAGGAAAGACAGCGGAGATGGGAGGGAGGACGCAAGGTGGGGATCCAGCATTCCCTGGGAGCACAGGCTCGCACACAGGCTGGGATCTTTTGGAGGGTCCGATGGCAGATCCCTGCAGTAGATAAATCAGAGATGCGGGTCTGAGGGGTGTAGGCGCCCACATGAAGCTGGGTTCACCTGTGAAGCTGCAGGACCATGGCTATTCTCATGAAACAGAGGTGTTCATTCTCAGATGGAATTTATCGTTTCTTTTAGAGCAAGATATTTTGCCCTGGAGGGTATTAGGTTTCTGAGCGCTCACATTTCCTTAAAAATAGTTATTAAGATTTGGAGATGTAATTTCTGCTTAAGTTGCTGTGTTTCGGGAACTTGGAAGAGATGGGTTACTTGGGGCAATGCTGGCTGCCCCCCCCCCCCACACACCTTTTTTTTCTTTTTTAGCAGAGCTTCTTTGATTCCTGATGGCTAAGTAAAGGAGAATGAACACATGCCTTCGTCCCTTCTCCCTTCTGACATCTCAATAGCGGGACTGTAAAGGAAGAAGGAGCAAATCCACATGAGCAGAAAGAACGAGAGAAGAGGGCAGCAAGTGTGGGGGTGCGTGCCCTGCAACCCACCACTGACGGGCAAGGGTGGGAGGATGGGAGGATTCGGAGCTCAACATTACATGGTGAGTTCAAGGCCAGCCTGGACCGCTTGAGACCCTGTGTCCAAAAAGAGGAGGACAGCTGGGCTGGTGAAACGGCCCAGAGGGAAAGACAACAGGCAGGCTATCACCAAGCCTGACAACCTTCCCTTAGCTTAGACCAACTGCGTCAAAATCACCAGACACGCAGGCGCTCGCCACCCGCGAGCCTGCAGACTCGACTAAGTGATCACTGCACACATTTTTGCTGAGAACAGGATCAGTTTCTGGATCTCTCCCCTCACAGATCACCAGAGACTTACTGCCTATTGGCTAGATAAAAACTATTTTCTATCCCTGGTTTGTATCATGGAGTAAAAGACAAATAGTGAGACCCTCCCTTGACACTGACTTAGAAGAGAGGGTGCGGCTGAGACACGGTGAGGACCACCTCCCGTGATTAGTCTCCAGAGACAGGTCTTGACTGCATACTTCACCCAATGTTCTTGGAAGGGCGCCCACACACCCAGCAGTGAGTTAAGGTTCTGTTACTCTCTTGCTTATTTATTATCAGGCTGTTTTTCTCCTGACCCCCAGGAAGATGGATCGGTGTGCACTCACGAGAGAATCTCCCAAGTTAAGGAAGGGGAGTAATGTTAGAGTAGCCCGGCTAGAAACATTATACAACACAGAACACAAGATAACAGTCATTCTCTTGTGTGGAAAAGAACTGTAAGATTCTTGCAATGAAAACTGTTTAAGAATTCCCCACCCTTCAGGTCTATGTAACCTATGTAATCTATGTGACCGTAGAGTTCAAAGTCTGGTCTAATAGTGAGGTAAATGTTTAAATAATTATGTATTTTTATAATGATGATATATTTTTATGATTATGATATAGTTTTATCCAATTGATCTCATTGATGAAAATGAAAACTGCATGATATTCACAATATTTTTTCATTAAGTAGAACAAGTCAAAAAATGAGATAGACTCACCCTTTCATAAAATCAATAAAGTACATTTTGCATAGAAAAAGATGTTTCCATGCAAAAAGATGTATTTTGACCTGTTCACAATACTATTCTATGAGCAACAGAATCCTAAATACTCTTCTTTAATCTCTTTTTATATTTTCTAATTTTTTGCCATGTACATTTATTGCATTTGCAGTTAAAACAAATACAGTCGAGGCCTTTACTTAAAAACTATACCTGCTGCTAATTTTTTTTAGACAGTGTTTCTCTGTGTAGCCTTGATTGTCCTGGACTTTGTAGACCATTCTGGCCTCAAACTCACAGAAATCTGCCTGCCTCTGCCTCCCTAGCACTGGGATTGAAGACATGTACCACCATGCCCAGCTTGCTGCTAATTTTTTATTATACTTCTATTAAACTCCAGCAACGTTAGAATTGCTCCCATAAGCAGATGCATGCCCTTTGTAGGGGAAAATGAGCTTGTGCGTACCTGAACAATGAGGGATCCAATAAACACAGCACCAAGCAGAGCAGGGAAGGGGTGCCAGGGAGGTCAGCCAGCCTCTCACCCCTCTCCCCAGTCGACTGTCACCCACTGCTTTGGCAGCCTCTTGACAGGCCAGTGTGGCCAGTCCCATCCCCATGAGCTGCTCTGGTGCTTCCTGGTTAAGAGGAGGCCCCTCCCGGGAGGGCATCTTTAGATGCTCAGAGTCTAGTAAGTGGTGGGTCATGGCAGCACTCCCACCCCAATCCCTAGACCCACTGTGGATCCCAGCTTCTCCAGGTGATGCCCAACTTGTTGCAGAGAGACTGTCACCGTTGTTGACCTCAGAGGCTCTCCGAGGGTCACATGACCTTAGCCACCCTCTCCAGTGCTCTACCTTGCCCAGGCCTCATGAATGGCCACCGTCGACATTGCCACTGCTTCGGCTGAGTCAGAAAATGCCCTCCTTCTGAAGCTTGTGAGTCCAGACTCACAAGTCCCCATGCCAGGGATTCTCTTCCAGATAGGGAGAGGGCAGCTTGTCTGTTCTCCAGCCTGCTAGAGAGAGCTACAGAGTGACAAAAAAATCGGATGAAACAAACCAAGATACCTTCAAACAACACAAAAGATCCACCCAATGCTTGCTAAGCTCAGGCAGACTGTTGCTAAGAGCCCAGAGAAACAGCCCTTTTAGTCCCTACAGAAAAGGTACAAGTCACCACCACTCCCTACTGGTTCTGTTGTAGTACACAGCCTAACATAGGTAGATTCCAGTTAAGTGTTGTATTCAGCTACTGGTAACAGATGAAAAATAGCAAGGTTTCTAATACACACACACACACACACACACACAGAGAATCTCAGATATATGTTTCTACATATAGAGTAGAGCTAGGATAGATAGATAGATAGATAGATAGATAGATAGATAGATAGATAGATACTATGAAGGAAGCCTAGGCAGTCCAGGAAGGCCACAAGGTTAACCTGTTTGAATCACCTGACTACATTTCTAAAAGGTTCCAGAATACACTTGAACTTGAATTCTAGACAAACCAGCTGAGTGTCTCTGGTCACCGCCATTTATTTTCCATTGCTGCTGTCCTCATTTGCAGAACGGACAGTAAAGCAGCAGAGCAAGGAGTGACTGGAAATTCACTAGTACGTGTAAAACCCTGAGCACAGAGGCTGGGACACAGTGAACCTCATAAATGCTGGAGAAGAGGGCTCAGTGCTTAAGAGTGCTCACTGTCCTGCGGAAGACTGGGGTTCGAATCCTAGCACCCACATGAGTAGTAACCCATCTTTCTGGGGTTACTACTTGCCTGGTTCATACCTGAGAAGGAGAGTGTGGATTGAGAAATGGCAGGTAAAGACACTAAGAAAAAGACAGAGACAGGATAGACTCAGGAGGGCAATCCAGTGAATACTGAATGCTCCAATTTTATTCTTCAACATTCCTATATACCCCAACCAAAAAGGGGGAAATGGAAAAAGACTTCTTTATCATGATACAAGGAAGAAACAGACTCTCTTCCTTAACTCTCCAAACATTTGGTAATCGCACCTTGGACTAAATCTTTACTGGCCTTGAGAGTCAAGAGTAACCACACTTCAGACCAAGTCTCTTGTTATTTAGATAAGACATCCACACCTAAGGCCAAACATCCTACAGTAGTCATGCCTTAGACCTTTAGGTCTTATGATTTTAACTTGGAACAGTAAGGGTATGTTTGAACTCTGTGACTTTAAGCCAACATGAAGCAGAGCCATTGTTATGGGCCCCAATCCACACGGTAGCTCACCACTGCCTATAACTCCAGTTTCTGGGGACGCAACGCCCTCCTCTGACTTCTGCTGGCCCCTGTACGTACACAGTGCACATACATACTCTTAGACACACATATATTCATAAAAGTCAAATAATACATTTGTTGTTGTTTTTCAAGACAGGGCTTCTCTGTTTAACAGCCCTGGCTGAACTGTAACTCACTCTGTGGACCAGACTAGATTCAACTCACAAAGATCTGCCTGCCTCTGCCTCCCAAGTGCGAGATTTAAAGAATGGGCCACCATGCCAGACTAATAACACATATTTTTAAATGAATCTTTAAAAAAATTGTTGTGAGACAATTTGCCTGTCTTTAGTAACCTGGGCCTTACGCACTGTAGTGACCAAGTTCTAATTTACCAAGAAAGCAAGGATGAAGGATTTAAACACTTAGAGGCTGCTGCAAGCTAAGTTGGTCTGCATGTTTACAATGAGGCTTAGTTGGCACAGTGGCGTACATCTGGAAGCTCTCAGGAGATGGAAGCAGGGGAGTCTTGAGTTGGAGGTCAGTCTGTCTGGGATTGGTAGCGAAATCTCATTTCAAAAGCCAATCAAGAAAGGCCGTCAAGATGGCTCTGAAAGAAAAAGAAAAAAGATGGCTCTGTAGGTAGAGGCACTCTGGGCAAACCTGGCAACCAGACTTCAATCCTGGAACCCACATACAGGTGAAGAGAACTGACTCCACAGAGTTGTCTTCTGACTGCCACATGTTCCCTGTGAACATGTTCCCACACCACGACACACCACACCACACACCACCACACTACACACCACACCACATCACACACACACCACACCACACCACACACATCACACACACCACACACACCACACTACACACCACACTACACACACCACACCACACCACACACATCACATACACCACACTACACACCACACCACATCACACACACCACACCACACCACACACATCACACACACCACACACATCACACACACCACACTACACACCACACTACACACCACACCACACTACACCACACACACCACACCACACACACACTACACCACACACACATACACCACACACACACCACACACACACATACACACCACACACACACCACACATACACACACACACACCATAACACACACACCACACCACACACACCACACTGCATTCACCACATCATACCACACACACACCACTTAAAACAAAACAAATGTTCATTTTCCTACATCTATGTTTGGCCTCAGAGAAGGAAATAACAGGAAAAAAGGAAGAGGGACTCAAACAGTGAGACCTTGGGGGAAGCCTGCCAATGGTGGTGCAGGCTTCTAATCCCAGCACTCAGGAGGCAGAGACAGAAGGATCTCTGTTAATTGGAGGCTAGCCTGGTCTACAGAGCAAGTTCCAGGATAGACAGAGCTACACAGAGAAACCCTGTCTCAGAAAAGCAAGCAAACAAACAAAAAACAGCATAATGGAGAAGGACATTTAAGAATAAACACTGGCTTGGATGTAGCTGTGTAGTACATCTCTTGCCTACAATGCATCAGTCCTTGGGTTAGATCCCCAACACAACAATAATAAATACCAAACATTTTCTGCTCTAGAGGTGGTGGGACCTAGGAGAATGGAGCCAATAAACGAGGCAGACTAAAGTCTCGTGCAATAGCCAGCTTTATTCAGAGCATCAGACAATACACACTCTAGGGGTTTGGAGGAGTCTCATGAGTAAGGTATTCGATCACAAGGACAAGCGACGTAGGGCACAAACATGCTTTCTGTAGAGGCATTCAAACAAACAGCAATAGTTTGGGCAATGGATAACTTGAGGTAAACTCAGTCCTGCCCACCACACCTGGGAGGAGCACAAAGGCATAATTCAAAAACAATTCCATGGTTTTGAATAAATGGAGGTCACAAGACTCTTGTCTTACTTTCTTGGGGTTTTCTCACAAGCACTCATTAAGTCTCCTCACAGGACTTCATTCCTAGACAACTAATACTGAGGTTATTAACTTTTTGATATGTAGGCTCCTCACTCCATACTTTCGTTTTGAAGTGTGCCATATACAAATATCTATTGTGGTTAGCTTGCTTTTGGGTTTTGTGGGTTTTTTCACTTCTTTGGGTTTTGCTTTTTTTTTTGAGATATGGTGTCATGTAGCCCAAGCTGGCCTCCAACTGGGTATGTTTCTTGAACTGCTGATCCTCCAGCCTCCACTTCTGAGTGTAGGACTCACAGGCATGTGATGGGGGGAAGTCTTCTGTACATGTTTCTCTTATTGGTTGATGAATAAAACACTGTTGGCCAATAGGGAAGCAAGATAGGCAGGACCAGGAGAAAAGGAGAATTCTGGGAAGTGTAGCAAAGAGAAGTCGCCATGTGATCCAGGCAGGAAGTGACATAGGGCAGAACCAGTATATAAGCAGGGACAAGCAGGAAATCGCTCTCTTCTCTTTTCTGCAGAGACACAGGCAGACACAGTGTAGACTCCAAAGGAGTAAGAGACTTTTCTCTGGTAAGATAAAGCCACGAGGAAATACATAGTGGTTATGGGTTAACAATAAGAAGCCCAAGTTGCCAGCCAACAGCTTATAACAATATAGTATCTGTGTTTCTTTGGGGCAGAAAATGGTAGCGGGACATAGCAGGGCCAGAAAAACCTCATGTTACAGGTATGAGCACTGACGTCGAGGAATGTATTACAAAAATCATGAGAGGAGTTGAGGTGCACATGTGGACTGGTGTAGACTAGAAATATACAGCATGCCTACATAGTCTATTGCTCCTTGTTATTTCACAAGGTCCTAGGTTCAATCCCAAGCAAAAATGGAGAAGTAGGAAAGAAAGAAAAGGGGAAAGACTGGGGGGAAAGGAATGTTGAGTTCAAGGTTAATCTGACTGAAGACATGTTCTATTGGGCTTTCTTCACAGGTGAAGGGGAGTGGGGCAGTTTGATCCAGATCTAGAGCATCAGGAAGACCCCAGCAGACATTTGGGCCACACAGTTCCTGCCTCCTCCCCCCAGTCCTTAGCCACAGTCCCAATGATGCCTTGCAAACTGAACAGGGCACTCACATTGACCCTGCTTTTGCAATACTGAGAAGTCAGGAAGAACTCAAGTTGGCTGTGATTCTCAAGGGTGAACGGATTCTGATGATGTATCCTAGCAACCACTGAAAAGATACAAGCTCTAGAAGCAGATATACAATAGCCACTGGATGCAGTGAGAAGTCCCAGGGCCTCGGCAGCAACCCACAGGCTGAACCCTGCAAGTGTGAGCTGACCCTGCTGTCACGGTGCTGTAGGGACAGTAAGAGTGTGAGCTGGACCAAAGGCTACCTCATAAATATGGCCTGAAATCAAAACGCTGGAAGCCCAAGCTTGGCGCTGAAGCAGGAGCCAGGCAAAACCACTTCATCTGAAAAGAACTAAAGGTCACAGACCGCTTTCAAATAAATCCCTCTAATCTAACGACAAATGACATTTACTTCTATAAAGCCACACAATGGTCAATGAGATGCTAATAATGAGACCTCACAAGAATGAAAAAGACTTCCATTACTTCCCTCATAAATTTGGACAGCTCTGGTTGTTAGCCAAGGACTCAGTACAGAATGCTAATGCCAAGGCATTGGTCAATTCTTCCATTGCCAAAGAAAGAAATTCAGGTTGAATTGAGCAAACAGGGGGATGGGAAAAGAAGACAGAAATCCTCTCTCTCTCTCTCTCTCTCTCTCTCTCTCTCCTCCTCCTCCTCCTCCTCCTCCTCCTCCTCCTCCTCCTCCTCTCCTCTCCCTCTTCCCTCTCTCCTCTCTCTCCCTGTCTCTCTTCCTGCCCCTGACTCACAAATGTGATTACAAGAGTTTGCTGTTAGACCCAAACAACAAGCCAACTTCTTTTTGTTTTGTTTTCTGAGACAAGAATCTCACTCCAGTATCCCTGGATGTCCTGGCAATCACTATGCAGGCCAGGCTGGCCTTGATTCACAGAGACCCTGCATCCAGCCTCTAGCTCCTGGGTGCTGGGATTAAAGATGTGTGATACCATGCCTGGCACAAAATAAAAGTGCTCAAAACCAGAGTAGATCACACCAGCAATGCATAAAATCAGATGAATACCAACTCCTAGCTGCTAAAGCAAATTGTAACAATAAAATTAAACCAGAACTGGGCAGTGGTGGCACACACCTTTAATCTCAGAACTCAGAGAGCCAGAGGCAAGCTGATCTCTTCGAGTTCGAAGTCAGCCTGGTCTACACAGAAAAACCCTGTCTTAGAAAAGCAAACAAAAAGAAGAAGAGGAAAAAGAAGAAGAAGAAGAAGTAGAAGAGGAGGAGGAGGAGGAGGAGGAGGAAGAGGAAGAAGGAAAGAGGAAAGAAGGAAGAGAGAGAAAGAAAGAAAGAAAGGAAGGAAGAAAGAAAGGAAGGAAGAAAGAAAGAAAGATCTCAACTAGGAAACACAGACAAACAAGGAAGAGCAAGGCAGCCATTATTTATCAAACGTAGTGAAGCAACTGAGCTTCATAAGTGTGGCTTCCAGGGGCTTGAGCACACACCATGACTCCTCTTCATCAGTGGGAAACTCACTAGGGTTTTAATTTAAGGTTGTGGGGGCTGGGTATGGAGACAGTCAGGAACTGGGGCAAGCACAGCTGTGTGACAAATACTAATGACTAGCTCAATTCCCAACTAAAAAAAAAAAATTCAGGCCAGCCTGTAGAGTGGGCTGCCTCCCAAAGAAAGAACGTTTTTTAATGATTCTTCAGTAAAGTCACCTGGGTGAGGGAGGTCACCTGAAGTCACAGTAAAGTACATAACTTGAAATAAGGAAAAAACTTATTAAAAAAAAAAGAGTTCCACATACCCAGACAAAGCCTTGGTATGATGGTTATTATTTCGGATGTACAAGGCCATGTTTATCAGTTGAAAGACATTAATCATGGCGGCACTACAGCCAGTTGGGCAGGCTGGGGTTCTGCATGGCAGGCACTGTCAGCTGCCCAGCGTGACTCCTCCAGCCTTTGCTAACAGAACCTTAATTTTTCTTCCTCTTTCTATCTTTTCACAAGGATGACTCCTTCCTTCTCCAGCCTCTAGGGATGACTCTGGATGAGTATGCCAAAGTCTCAGCATCCTTGCCACATGGTTGGTTTAGACATAGGCAAGAGATACAATTCTGGTCAATGAGACTGGAGAGGGAGTCTGCTGCAAGTTTCCAAAGGTGTTTCTGTGTTCCCAAAGGGGAAACAAGGACCCCGTCCCTCAACACCCACCACCCTTTTCTGATTGAAGAGGTTACCTGCAAAGATGTTTGCAAAACAGATAGCTGTTTTAGGTCTGTGGGGAAGACAAAAGGAAAAGGCAGAGAAAACAGTTATTGAATTTAGAAACTAAGTTACTAATATAATCTAGACACCGTTACATGTGTCACTGAGTATTTAAACCAGATTAGATTTAACATTTAGGGTTAGGTTTTTCTGGGTTTTTTGTTTGTTTTGTTTTTCCAAGACAGGGCTTCTCTGTGTAGCTTTGGAGCCTGTCCTGGAACTCTCTTTGTAGACCAGGCTAACCTCAAACACAGAAATCCTCCTGCCTCTGCCTCTGCCTCCCCAGTGCTGGGAGGCTTGTGCCACCACTGTCTGACTTCTGTCTTGTTTTTGAGACAGGCTCAACACACAGCCCAAGATAGCCTCGAACTTGTGATCTTCTTGCCTCTGTCTCCCCAGTGCTAGAATTACAGGCAAAGCCAGCACCACCACACCAGGCTAGATCAGGTTCCTATAAGGTCAAGGCTTCCTGACAACCTCTCCAAACAAAAGATTCCAAGTGCTACCACAGCACATCCGGGTGGATCCAGCCCTCCTCTACCTGCTGTCCAACTTTCCAGTGGTTTTTATGACATCTGGGACTTCGTGGGCCACGGCATCTTCTCTGCCCTCCTCTCTTACTCGGTGTTCCACAAGCCACACCAAACTTACTTCCAGGCAAAGGAATTTGTAGGAAAAGGCTGCGTCGATACAAAGCAGAAAACTGGAATGACCTTGGCACACAACTGTTCTCAGGCGATCTGCAGAGAGTAATTGTTTCTTTTTTAAGTTGAACCGAAGTTCCTGTCAACAACCCATTAGAAACTGAATTCCATATTTTTCTTTTTTGGGGGGGGTACAGAGATAAAAGTCAAACAGCATCCTCTTACTTTAAAGTGTGCAATTCAGCAGTTTTGGTGTGTTTTCAATGCTGTGCAACTATCCTGAGAAATTGCAGAACGTTTTCCCCGAACCTGCCTATTAGTAGTCAGTCCCACTTGCAATCCTTCAACACGCATATCCCAAGAGTCGACAATTTCACCGAGTTTTCTTTTCTGCAGTTGATTACAGAGAACAGAGTGGGTTGTTTTATTCATTTTTCCAACACAAAATTATGTTTTTAATGTGACATGTACTTCTCCACCGATAAATATTCTGGTAATCTTGACTGTCAACTTGATGGGATTTAGGATTGCCTAGAAGGTTGTGACTACTGGAAAACGTATTTCTGATGGTCTTAGGAACTCACAACCCTAAATGTATTTTCACTGCTACCTCATAACTGTAATTCTGCTACTGAGCAATGCCACGGTTTCTAAGACCAGAGAAAGCAATGTGTTTTCCGATGATGGAGATCCACAGGTTGAGTACTGCTGACCTAGATGCTAAACCTTTGGATATTTCCAGAGAGGATTGACTGAAGAGAGAGGACCTATCCTGAATGTGAGTAAAGCCATCCCCAAGGCTGGGGTCCTGGGCTGAGTGAAAAGAGTGAGTACCAGCATTCTCTTTTTGCTTCCTGGCTGCAGGCAACATGGTCAACCTCTTCACGCTCTCCTGTCTTCCCCCACTAGCGTACACTATACCTTCAAACCATGAGCCAAATAAGCTCTCCCTTCTGTAAAAGTAATACAGATATTATTACTGAATTACAGATCCTCTGTGCGTGCACTGCGTGTGCATATGGAATCCAAGGTCTCAATTACTTTCTGCCTTATTTTTTTGAGACTTTCCTTCATTTAACCCAGGGCTCACCAATTCACTAGACTGGCTGACCAGCAAACCTCTGGGATCCTTTGTCTCCCTCTTAGTGCCAAGAGTACAGATGTGTATTCCCATACCTGGCTCTTCCCATGAATGCTGGGGATCCAAATTCAGACCCTCATGCTTATGTTGCTGGCATCTTTCCAGCTGAACCATTTCTTCAAGCCCTCATACGTCCTGATTATGATGCCCAGTTGTACCACTGTGGGCATCCTCTTGTCTCCTCAGAGTTTGCTTTATTAACTAATACTCATGAGATGTGCCTATATGGCTGAGTAATTATTCCACGAGTATTTTTTTTGTTTTTCCCACCTAGCTCAAGCTAAAACTAGTATGTGCTCCCTTTGATGGCATTCTTAGTTTTATAAATATATTAGTTGTCGCTTTTCTACATGAGAAAATAGTTCATGGTAACCTAACATTTACATTTCCCATTCACTTTTTATTGTTTTGATAAGAGTATCATAAATCACCCTAAACTGAGGGATTAGTGCTTAGCCTTAGTTAGTGACATCCAAATGGCTAGCTACTTTTTGTTGTTGTTCTCTCTTTTTCCAATTTCATCGCAATGCAAAGTCTGAAGCACAGTGTATAAGCAAGCGACCCTTCCACTCTGTGGAGCGCTGTGCACCACACATAGGAGATCTGAAGCCCTGACTGTGACATCTTCAAATGCACCTGCAGAGGCTTCATGGGGCACGTGCAGCTACTTCAGCTTGAACTCGGCCATCAAGGCAGAGCTCTTCTTCAGTTTTTAGTAATAAACCCTGAAAAATACTACTGATTCATAATAATGCACTGTTTAATCTGAAATCGCATAATCAGGGATATTATCTAGTAAGGCTAGAAAAATGCCAATATCACATTTCACTACTGGAGGAGAACTGAGACAGCTGTAGGATTTTATACCAGCAAGGACATTCAGTTGTAAATGAGGGAAGCCTAAGACAATCTCAATTCAAAAGAAAAAATAAATGAGAGAAATGCAAACTGGCTCACATACTGCAGAGTCTAACTGAAGTATACTTCTTCATGCACCCACCAAGCCATGGCCCCAGTCACTAAACTCAGGAATCTGCTTGCTCCCTCTCTAAGTTCCACCCCCTCTGCTGTCTCCACTTCCTCAGTCTGCTTTCTGGCTACACCAGCTATACACTCCTTAAGTTTAAGTCTCGTAAGTGAAATGTCTGTTTTCTGGATTTCCTGTTTAATTCCTAGACTTCATTTCACTGGGGTGTGGTGTGAAGTTCAGAATTAGAGCGGGTGTAGTCAAACCCACAAACAGGGGACAGAAAGTAAGGGAGGTGTGGTCCCAGAGACAAGTCCTGGTCTTAGGATGACATAGATGCAAGGGCAGGCGTGACAGCCCACATACAGGGGCCAGATTCCTGACCTGGCACATC